ATAGGATTTTACTATGTAACGAGCATCATGAGCAGAACGTTTCCAGTCGAACTTTTTGTGTAACGATACAATTGGAAAGAGGAAACCGCGGGAATGTATGTGAACCCACATACAACCTTTGGTAAACCGAACCAAACTGAGCTAGCCCTAACCCAAGCGCCATGAGGTCAGTCGGATCTTGCCGATAGCGCCGAAGCTGCACTGCCAGTGAGTCCCTTAGCGGAACAGCCTATGCCAGCACTCCAGCGACGAGGACGCAGAAAATACCGTTGGAACAGGTTTCTTTCTAACGTCCACATCTATGAAAGCGCAAATGTTCAGAACAGCAGCAACAAAAATCGCCCACAATTCAACAATACCTGCGCTTGCAGGTAATCATGACCTTCGCCCTCTCCAAGACCTCATAACGGCTGAGAAAACCGTCCTCGTGTCGTATGTGTCGATCCTTGTATACTGTCCTGTTCACTCACGGCCTTTTAGCTTGCAAAGACTTAGCGCGGATATAACAAAGGCTTCAGAGGCATTACGTAGCTGGGGTTTGGGTGAAGGAGATGACCTCGGGGTACGTAATATTCAGTAATAGTCGGTTCGTAGTCCAGACAACACGTCTTTCTGGCTGGAACTGCAGACTGAATACTACGGACTAACCATATGCTCGTAGGACACACTCAGTGCCTCCACTACAGTGCTGGCTCATTTTGCGTCGGCGCTCACCCACTATGCCACACTTGAACATACTATTCGAGACAACATGAAGGCTGTTCGTACTCGGGAAGAAAGGCTTGATGATCTCAAACGTAGGAGAAAGAATGTCGTTTCAAGGGCAGACACGGCAGAGAGGAAGTTGAACAAAATGAGCCCGGAACACAAGAATCTATCCGCTCAAACCGATATGCTGAACAGACTGAGAGATGAAATAAGATCGATGGACACAGATATTATGGCAGAGGAATCTGATCTGGGTGATTTCAAACGTAAATGCACAAAGAATTGGATGACCTTGAAGTTTGGTGGTCTTGCCGAATGCTGCGAAAAAGGCGCCGTAAGTCATTACATTGTTCCACATCTATATTCGTGACGTTAAAACACTTTCAGATTGTCGGTGAACTGGGGAAAGATATCTTGACAGTAAGTTTATCTCCATGTGAGACTTGACCGACTATTCACCTGCTGCATAGGAAATACCAGACGACGTCACGCAGCCCGGGCTTCCCAGGTCTTACTATAGTGGTCAATCTAGAGTTAATTCTCATGTCGCAGAAATACAGAGACGTATCGGACAAGTTGTCTTTTCCGGGACCCCTTCATCTTCTCCAGATGGAGAAACTGGGTCGACCTTGTTAAGTGATCCTTCTGCCAATCCACCTTCGACACCTTTGCATCTTGCTTCTCCTGAATTCAATTCAGATTCGAACACATACCTTACCTCGGCACCTATTTTGAATGTGAGTGAATGATATCTTTCGTGGTTTTGCGCCCCCTGACTATGAAGATAAAGATGACATCCACTGCACCTAATCGCAGAAATAGTATCGATGAACTTGGCTCAAGGTCCCCCTCGAGTTCGGACTACCCTAATTCTCGGCTGGGAGGAAACTCCACCGGAAGCCAGTTTGCCTCATTACCGTCCAGAGGTAACAGAGGTGGTAACATGCTTCAGGATGATACCTTGTCTTTAGGTCCAGGTCGTCGGTCCTCAAGAATAGAAGATTCATTTTCGTCCTCCATCGCTGACGCTCTGTCATCTCGAGACTATTCCTTGAGCATGGCGACCCCGGATGATTTCGTCAGAGGCAGTAGTATGGATGAACCAGTTCCAGAATATGAGCCAATAGCTTCGTCATCATTTAACATGCCGCTCGGACTTCCTTCTGGTGCTGCTCCTCCCACTATAAATGCTTATGATCAGGACTTCGAAGAACATACTCAAAGAGGTTCTTTTGATGAGAGAGAAAGCCAGCTTCCATACGCATCCCCCGTCTCCAATGAGCAATCACACCACGCAGACCGGCGCGTGCGATTTGGCGCAGCCAGCGACGACGAGCCAGAAACTCCTCATTCACCAGAGGTGACAGATGGACGTGAGACCGGTCAAACAGAACAAGGTATGTGAACAATTGCCACCAGGATAAAATTATCTAATATCCTAACCTTTGATCCTAATGTTGGTTTTCCCCCCTTTTTTTCCGCACTGAAAAGTTTCATCGGTAGAAGAACCGTATCTACGCTCCGCTTCTCCCGTTCTTTCCGAAGAACGGAGGGTCCCTAGGATTCCTCCTCCTATGATGGACACGGAGGAGGATGAAAAGGCGCGAAATGCAGCAGCAGCACGCGAAGTAACACGTGAGATGGACGCTTTAACGTTCAGCCCCCCTCCTCAAGAACGTTCACCGTCACCGCTAATACCACCATCGGCCCCATTTGCACAACAGCCCGCTTATTCACGCCCTCAACTAAGCACGCAGCCTCCTGTAGACCAGCCAGACTATACCCCGCGGAGTGTCACTACGTCTCCCATCCCATCTTCTCCTAACGTGAGCTCGCTCATGCCTGCCTCTCCCACTGGATTTGCTTCTCGTTCTGTCTCTCCTGCTGCATCAGCAGATGCACCTTATCGTACACCCCCAGAGTATCCTAAACCTTTCAGCTCCATCGCGCCGAACGCAATGGCAGCTAGATCGACGTCGTCTCTCACTACAGCTCAGTTTCCAGGAGGGGCGCGAACAATATCCGCTGCAGCATTTAGGCGCCCTCAGCCACGAGTAGCAAGTGGATCAGATGCTAGCATTGGCGGACTTGGTGGGCCCGGTGGGCCAGCCGACACGAGTCCTCTAACGTTCCGAAAGCGCGCTTTGCCAACAACTCCTGGCAACGCTGGAACAGCAACGCCTCAAGGAGAACGATCGCTCCCTCCTGGGCAAAGTCGACCTGTCTCTAGCTTTGCTGATGAGGAAGATTTTGATTACATATCTGCCTACGTTAACGCTAATCCTGAACCAGGAGAACAGAGCAGGCCGTCGGGTGAATACCCGCCGGGATATGCGCAAGGCAGATTTGCTACAAATCTTGAGGGCAATGGTCGTCGGTCATAGGGTGTGTGAAGAGTGTAGGGTGGGTGAAGAGTGTAGTGTTTCGCCTGTGTCTCTTATACCTAGGTAAAATATGTATTTAAGATTACTGGATTCATTAGCCTCGTCTTTTTTTTGAAACTATTAATTGACTGTACTCTCACTGAGTTGTCTATTTTGATGTCGACCATTCTCGTATCACATCGCCAAAAAATGCTCTCCAAAAAGCCTCGATGAAAACTTCGTGACGACACCTCCGATCAACACTTATCAAAGGTGACAAAGCTTGGGAATTCGGTTTAAATTCAAGAGTCACCATGACCAGAGCATTTATAACTTCATTATTTTTAATACTACATTCCCTAACAATGTTATGAAACGTTACACCGTTCATGGCTCAGGCGTCAGGTATTTTCATTTGGGCTTGTGCAGTAAGAGCCTGGAATGCCTCCTCAGAATAGGGGGGGTATCGAAGACCCATATACGGCTCAGCTCTGATATTGAAAAAAAAGCGTTAGGTTACAGCTCAAGGCCCTTCAGAGAAAAGCAAGGCGTACGCAAGGGGAACATTGATGGAACCTCGGCGTTGAGTGAAGGCATCGAATGAATGCTTCCCGAAGTACGCGCCATCTACAAAGAATAAAAGTTGTTATGAATGTCTTCTACACCAATGTCAAACACTTACAGCCTGAATCGCCCTGCCCGCCAAACGGAATCTCGTACACACCAAGTTGGGCGAACGTGTCGTTGAGGATGAGTTGACCACTTTGAGTCCTGTGAACAACTGGTATAACCACAGTTAAAAAACTGATACATATAAAAGGAAATAGGTGTACACTGACACTTTTCTTTGGTCTCATCGCTGTTTGTGAATATATAAAGGACCAGAGGAATGGGGCTGCACTCATTCAATCAGCACATTCGAAAATATTCGAAACAGGTATATTTTTGAGACTCACCCTGCTTGTATATGAGTGATGGCACTCTCGATGTCGTCCACAGGAACAATAGGAATGACAGGACCAAATATTTCCCTAAGAAGTTGGTTTGTTTTTTTTATATGCAATCAGATAAGAAGAAAAGCTAACTGTTCCATCAACGGATCAAGAAGATCAACGTCCTTCACAATAGTAGGCTCGATCCGTAGATTATCCCCCGCCGATCCACCGACAGCGACGTTACCGTTTGTATCGCGTAGAAGGCCTCGAATGCGATTATAATGGGTCTCGTTTACCATATGGCTAATCTCAGCCGCTGGATCAAGCGCACCCTTTGCGTGTGGCCAGAACGTCTCATATGCTTTTTTGAAAGCCGCGACAAGAGCATCTTGGTGTTTGCGCGGAACGTAGACATGATCGGGTGCAACACAGACCTATACGAGGTGAATAAAATCGTCAACAAGAAAAATCTGGGGGGAAAGAATGGGCACTAACTTGACCTGCATTCTGTTGTTTGCCCCACAAAATTCGTTTGGCGGCAATCTCGAGATCTGTGTTGTCACCATCGACGACGACGGATGATTTGCCTCCCAGCTCGAGCGTTAGTGGAGTGATATGTTTGGCAGCCGCGGTAGCCACTATACGGCCAATGGCTGTGCTCCCAGTGTAGAATATGTGGTCCCATTTGAGTGTGAGAAGGTGAGTAGTCTCTGGAGCTGCACCCTGAACAACAGCGTATGCATTGGGATCGAGATAGCGCGGGAAGAGGTCCGCCATTAACTGCGAGCAATTAGGGGAATGCTCTGACGGCTTGATGAGACATGTACAACCAGCGGCGATAGCACCAGCCAGAGGCAACAACGAAATAACCCATGGGTAATTCCAAGGACTTGTAACACACGAGTTAGTCGTCAAAGATGGACAAGTAGATTGAAAGATTTCAGGCCTACGTGATATTCACCACAACACCTTTAGGTGCTTTATATATAGTGGTGTCCCAAGAGCTACGCCATTCTTCAACTTCTGGTTTCTCGGGCTTTGTCCACTCTTCGAGTTTTGCAGCAGAAAGAAGGGCACTAGCCACTATAGGGCCAACCTCTGGAAGAGCCGCTTCCAGTCTGTGACGTCCTAGGTCAGCCTTCAACGAGGTCATGATAACCTCGGCATTCTCCTGTGCAAGCCGTGCAAGCTGTAAGAGCTGTTGACGCCTATATGCAAGAGGGATAGTGACGCCAGACCGGAATGTTGCGGTTAGCTTGGCATGGATCTAAGTTAAAAAATACATGTAAAGTCAGTAAGAGCCGTCAAGAAATTGTGGGATCATGTCAGTAGATATACGCCGCACCTGCGTGATTTCTTCAGGAGTGTTGTAGCCCATAGTCGATAATCGAATAGTGATTTAAACAGCTGAACTTGTGGATGGGGTGTGTTGCTGTGACCGACGTTGTAGCCTATTTAAATAGCTACGTGAGATTATGAGAACCCAAGAAGATGATCGGACTTGAAATACATTAGTGCACACAAGGGCCTCTACTGGCCTAGCTTCGCCCCTGAGGCGAGTTTCAGTTAATATAGGAGGTTAAGTTGTAGAGCGGCGTTGAACACACGCAAATGGCTTCGATGATCATCGGTGGCTACCATTCATTATAGATTAGCTACAGGCACTATACCAGCTGCTAGTAGTTGCTGCCACTCGAACGCATAACTTTGAATACTTACTAGCTTGCTCAAGAGTTTGCACTACCAGTTTGTCGTTATGGACCCTAATGGGTCTAATCCTTGTAACTGCTACAAGCACAGTAAGCAGTCATCCACATCGATGCGTGATGGCAAGACGACTCGGATGATTTAGCCTGTAAAGCGACAAACTGGAAAGGGTAACCGTAAGAAATCGGTTGATATTGGTGATAGCAAGTTTAAATACCCGCCATTCTGAGTTTTCCCCCTCAATTTAGCTTCATATAACATATTCTTCAGGATGCTGACGCTTTGTTTTCTGTAGGAGATGTGACCATTACTCACTGTAAGCCTTACTCAAGTTCAGCAAGGTTGGGGAAGCGGTGTATAAGTAGTAGACCGGTATGGTTCCAAATATATATCAACGTTAACCGAACCGGCCGGGGGCCGGACTATTACGCCGCTCTTTGGAGCGTTGCTGGCGACCTTCTTCCAACTTGATACTTGTTACAGGCTCAGTGTTTCACTGGTGTATGTCCCTTTATCACTACTCATCATGACCTTGGGATGACTTTATGAATCTACTACATTGATGGAGGCACATATACCATCCTCGTGCGGGTCTATCATCATTGAAATCAAGGCGCAAACGTCTCAAAGCCTCAAGAAGCTTGCCGCCCTCGACTAACTAACCCAGGTAATGGTGATTCCACAATCGACAGAGGAGTGGGGCCCATATTCTCACAGACAGAAAATTTATCTCCGAGACGCGAACGCCAACTTATCATCAGCATCTCACCTGTGGGCTCGCACCCTTATATCTCTGCAGCAGTCACACACTCTATGATTCAGTGATATACCTCGACCCTATATCGTGCAGGCATGACTGAAGCTGAAAGTCGATAAAAGAAACATGTTGGCCCGCGGCATCATGTATCACCAGCGGTGATGTCGAACTTCATCGACGGAGGTTCACAGTCATTAAGGTGCCGACCGACGGTGCACGAAATTCATTTTCACTGCTCACTCGATCGAGAGCACATGGTATAATCCTGGCAGTGACATGCGGCTTAAGAGTGTATGTATTTGATCGTTAATCGAACAATAACCATACATTAATATCATAATATTTTTAGGGGTGCAGATCCTTGCTTCCAAACGGGCCTATCTTATCTCAAAATCTGGGAAGGCCAATCGACGAGAAAAGACATACTCGCACTTTCCTTTACTTTTCACGCATATTTTCAGTGAGTTCTTCAAGTTCCTTAGGTTGAACTATCCTATCCAGGGCTTATATGCGCGTGATACTAAGGGCGCATGTTCAGTTTGGCGATCTGCGTACATATCTGTTCCGTCTGTGCTGACTGATATAACACAAAACGATCATGGTAATTCCAACGTCTTGATACACTTCCAAATTTTATTCAGCTGTCACAATTACTTCGAGCTTCTTTCTTCGGTCTTCTCCCAAGCGTAATCCAAACCCCAGGATCGAGGCTTAACGCGATCAATTATCTCCACATCAGACGCCCTGTTTAAAGTTCAATGGCACTCAAAGCTGTTCTCAGCCATTGCTCAAATAACTGGTTTTAAAACCGAGGAAGGACAAGATCCATCTGGAGTTTATCTACGCCAACAAGAAAGTTAGGAATTTCGAATTGGCGCTAGGTGTTTCGGGGCTTTCTAGATTTCGACGAGTCTGTATACTACCAGGGGCGATACCAAGAAATCAAGGAGTTCAGTTTCTATTTCATCAAGCGCTGCGGGCCTGTACATAGAAACCTTCGTAACGTGAATCTGATGAATGAAGAACTGAAAAGGCAGGGTTTATGCTAGCAACCATGATTGGACCTGAAAGAATCAGAATACCCACCGACTGTCTATAGAGATAGAGTGGGGGCTAGAAGTATGATGGTTCGATGGGTTTTACGAGGATATCTGGTCAAAAGGCGCTTGTGCGCGCCAATTTATCGTTAAGACGAAACGTTGGGACGTCACCAGGAACACCTCCGACTCACGTCAAAATATTTCCCAGGTGAAAAAGAAATACGCGTCAGGAGACCTCTATTACACTCACCCTATGATCACGAGAAATCAGTGGGTCAAGTGAGCGGTCTTCCCCTAGTTATGCGGGCCGTATAATTGCACAATCCCTTATCTTTGGCCGTTCACCGGGGCTAAATCCACTATCTCGACTATAAGGCGAAGGTCACGAAGGTATGCGTGCGGGGTTAAAGATGCTCCTAGATTGATCTACCTGACTAGGACAAAGACTTGCTTTATAGAAGACAATCTTCGAAGCCTTTAGGAGCTACCACGAACTGTATAATCTTCTACATGTCTTCGAGTTCAGAATCCAAGGGCATCGCCCTCGTCACAGGAGCTGCACAGGGCATTGGACGTGCTATTACTCTCCGACTCGCTGATGATGGCTTCGACGTGGCGATCAACGACATTCTATCCAATAAGGAGAACTTGGACAATGTCGCGCTACAGGTCGCGTCCAAAGGGAGGCGCACATGCGTGATGTTCGCAGACGTGACTGTAGAAGACGAAGTGAAAGGGATGATAGACGGGGTGGTGACACAGCTCGGTGGTCTCGATGTAGTAAGTTGATCGCAGCTTTGGGCCCACAGGAGCTTGTTACTTGGGCTCAATAACGCTCTCCTTTCTCACAGATGGTTGCCAATGCTGGGATTATCAGAGTTGGCACCCTTTTAGAAAGCATGTTGCGGTCCAACGGTATCATCTTTCCCTTTCTAACCAACCCCCGTATCTAGCGGGCGTCGATGATTGGGAAGCTCAGTTCGCAGTTAACGTGCGAGGAACGTACCTGTGTTATAGGTATGCTGCCATGCAAATGATCGCACAGGGACGCGGTGGGCGCATGATTGGGGCGTCTTCGGTCGCTGGCAAAACTGGCACGTTCTTGATATGTCTCGGCGGTGTCGTATCTGATTCCTACATTCATCTAACTCATAAGGCCATGCAAACCAGATAGCGTATTGTTCAGCCAAGTTTGCCGTTCGAGGCATGACACAGTGTGCTGGTTCGTCTTTGTATGACTTTATGTGTCTTGTCTTATTAAATTGACCGTTGCATTATAAGCACTGGAATTGGGTCGCCATGGTATTACCGTGAATTCGTATGCTCCTGGTGCAATGATCACTCCGATGCGTAAGGGTACATTGCATATTTCTGGAGATTACTTACTAGGTTCCTTCATGTAGTGGAAGGTATCAGAATCGCGAATGATCAGCGTAACGAGTCCTTGGGTCAATTCTATGATGGGGATTACTACAAACGGGTAAATGGAGGCCAATCTATCCCTTCGAAACTTCATTTACATTTTCATTGTCAGATGGCGGATAGAGCTGCTGTAGGGTACATGGGAAAAGCCGATGACGTTGCGAGCATCGTGTCATACCTAGCCTCGAAAGAATCCCACTTCATTACCGGTGAGTGTGAATCTGGCATGTCAACTGCCTAAAGGGTGTTGACGTCAGTGTTGACGTGACGTTGTCACAGGTCAAAGTGTAAGTACACCATCGTCCCCCGCTGTAGACGGCCAGAATAATGACAGATGCGACTTTATGACAGATTTCAGTGGATGGAGGAGTTTACTTTTCCTGATCCCTTCGGCTTTTCTGGACGTTGGTTATAATTATTACATGAGGGTCCTAGCTGAGTCAAAGATGGACAGATGGACAGTCTCAGAAAAAGGCTAGGAGCGATTGGCTACCGAACTGTGACTTCTAGGAGCAGGCTAACGCATGGCCCACAAACACGAGGCCAGTTCCTGCACACTTGCGCTCGACCTTGCTGTTCTTTTTTAGTTCAAGACCTTTTCGTCTTTAAAAGTCCCGCTGATCGCAAAGTTAGTATGATATTAGTGTGCGATAAGCTGCTACTGCTCCCCCCACATGACGCATTCATGACGATACGCAGGAGCGCAAAGTACGTACCAGAACACGACATGAGGACAGCGTATAAAGAACTTTCTGAACGCGCGCTAGTCCGAAATTTCCGAGGCTAGCACAAGGCTGCCTTTACTTACCTGCCGTTACCAAAATACCTCGATAGAAAACAACAAGTGTTCGATTTTTGAATTCTATCATCAAGCGGCGATAAATCGATCCGGGATAAATCTCTGCCGGTCAGCGAAGTCGCCTTTTTGTGACCGAAGACATGTGGTACGTCTGCGTGGTGTGCAAAACCGCGGGGGTACGCATGGATTTCGCGCCTGAATCGCTCTGCAGACAGCCTGATACAGCGAGAGAAGTATTGTGGCGTAATGACCGCTCAATACAAGATTGTGGCGTTGCTTTTCAAGAGCTGTCGAATCGACTTTGGCTGCTCAAGGGCATCCAATCTTCGTGATAGCACGGACGACGACGAACACGGAGCACAAGATATAAAGCTAGCGCCTCCTTCTCGTGGTTCAAGGGTCATTTGTAACACCCCGGTAGGAAAACTGATGTTTCAGATTCGACTGCTTCCCCACCTGCAAACACGACATAGCGGAGGGTGTACGGACTTGAGGACATCGAGTTCGAAAGAGTGGACAAAGAGAGGACTTTGCAGCTGAGTTGTCCGCAAAGAAGACATGACATTGTCCCCCAGAAGCAGGAGCGCATCGACTCGCCGAGACCGTGGAGCACTATACAGACCGGTGATGGTGTCTATGAGAAACTCACTCATCTGGGTGGTGGTAGCTGATGTTGTAGTGTGGGTGAGGACAGCACATCGTCATAGCCAGCGACAGAGTGTGTTGGTATCCGTGAACCTATATCCTGTAAGAAATAGTAAGCCGAGATCATGATGGGGCAGAAAATGTATCAATGCATGGGCGTCATTCCGGTGAATACACAGACAGAGATGGAGATTTTACAACCGGGTAATCGCTTGACAGTGATCTCGACCCTAAAAAAGGGCAAGCGTTCAGAAAATAAATGAAAATGCTTATGAAGACTAGAACCTGTGTCATCGCATCAAGGCCCAGGGTCAGCTGGGAACCCTTCTTTTGTTACTTGAGCCTTGTTCGCTCGGTGAGTGCTCGGTGGCAACGGGGACCTCCTCCAATGGCAACTAATATGCTTGAATGCACGTTGTTATAACGTTGGTCGATTTTCGTTCGTTCATTTCTTTTCTCCAAAACTACATCCTCCATATTTCCTTGTCCCATCCCGGAGGCCAAGGTAGCCCTCAATGGTTGGCTTTCTTCGAAGAATAGCTACAGGAGATAAAAAAAGTGTTGGCAAGGACTCAAATAAACAGCTTTCCCGCCCCTCATCGCCCGGCCCCCAGAAATCATCAGATGTACCCCCTTCGTTACCATCTTTGCCCTCTTTGCCCCCTCTCTATGCTCGATTTGCAACCACCGCTCCGCAGACAGATGCCACGGTTAATGGGTCTAATAGTCCCCTAATATCTCTCGAGCAGCTTCCCACCACCACTTGGGACTTGGAGCCGGAACTCTTGTCCTCGCGCATAGAAGAATCTCCAAGCACAGATGTCTGGGATGCAACAGGGCTGTACAGTGTGACAGCTTCCCCTGATCTGATGCAAAGGTAGGATACAATCTTTTCTCCGATGCCTATACGTGCTGAAATAATCCTCGCAGCCTACCAAATCCGCTACAGACGTCTGGTACTCTTTTCTCCTCTGCTTTCTCAAGTTCTCCACTTTTTGCACGCCAAGAAGAGAAGCCATTGCCTTCAAATCCTATTGCTAAGCCAATAAAGCCCTCAGGTGAGCGGGATGAACAAGTTACTGGACGTGTTTGTCTTAACGAGGACCTGTCAGATGGTTTTTCACCAGGAGTGTTGAACTACTCTACTACGTTTTCTGCTCCAGGGAGCACTCCTGCTCAAACTACTGTAATCACAGTTCCATTGCGACAGGTTCGCGGAGACCAGTCCATAATTTTGCCCGCCCCTTCCAAAATGCAATCCCCTCTTAAACGCGAAGACAGTGTATCATCCTCCGATTCTTCATTTTCTGTATCAAATTACTATACATCCCCGCAGCCAGCTCAAACACCTAAAGTAGCACCGACAATCACACCAGGTTTTCGTGGCTCCACCTTCTCTACGTCGCCTCCGAGACACGAAAATCAGGTCCAGCCCATACGTCATCCGCAAACTTCGCGTTCTCCCGTCGTATCCGCAGATTCTCGTCCTCCGCCTCCATCGCGTACTACTACATCTCCTCGTGGCCCGGTACACGTAGGATCTACTGCAAGCTTCGTGTCTAGCAGAAATTATGCCAGTGATAGCACCGAAGCGTCCCGAAGAACAATGGTATCGACTGCGTATACTTCGGGTTCCTCCACAGCTCCGGTAAAAAAGGCAAGTTTTTACCCTCACTTCTTCGTTTACTATGCTATGCGATGAGCGAGAATAAGCACTAAGCATGCCTTCTCTGTCAACGGCAACTTCGCGATCGAGGAGTCGTGGGTACAACTCGCGTATCACCACGACCTTTGTGTCAGATCTTCTGCCGCCATCAACAAAATTCACATTGCAATCGCGTTGTGTTTCTTCAAGTTGCTGCAGCATTCTCCATTGAAAGCTGCAGTGTTATGACAGAGACATGTCTCATTTGCATTTTTCTCGCCTCAATCTCCGTCCAAAGACTGTGCCGTTAACATAAACCCTTAAATAGCAATCTGACGTCATCAACGCCGCCAACCATGGCCCTATACCGTCGGCTCGGCGTCGGGCAAGCCCAAATCCACCTTCTAGCACCTCGATAACCCGTCCGGTGTGTTTTTTTTTTTTTTATTACTCTAGACGATAACGTTGTAAATAAATAACTCACAACATATATATAGGCGATGAATACGAGCGTATTCGGTAACGTTCCTCGGGACACCTACGATTCCCAACGCCCCAGTCGTTCTGCGAGCAGTACGAACTTGAAGCAACCGTCGACGCCGGTCAATAAAGCTAATCTGACACCGAGACAAAGCTCTTCATTCAAGTACAACTCGCCGTCGCGATATCCTTCACCGCCTTCATCGAACGAACGATCCAATCGCGCTTTGCGACAGCCACCTGTTGTCGATCGCGTCTCCAAGGAATCAGCGTCGGTAGATGTGCTTGGACAGTCCGAAGTTCATTTGAATCCAGATAATAAAGCTGTAACGTATTCGAAGACGGCTCCTGTTCGGAAAGGACCTCTCATCTTCGCAGCAATGACAACAGTTCATCAAGCTGCCGAAACCATCATCGTCAATCCCAGTCCTACACCATACGTTCCAGAAGGAGATGTTCGACAACGTGCCTATCCTTCTCCGCCCGCAGATCCCATTCCTCTTGCCGATTTTAATTCGCAGATGCAACGTAATGCTTCAGCATCATCAAAGGCTACTCGTGTCTCATCGAAGGGTACTGAGGACTCACGACGTCATGTCTCTTCCGCGAGTTCATATACGCATCATTCAGATGAAGTCGCTCGACAGTCGTCGGGTCACTCACCTATAGAATCTCTGATCCCACTGCGTGTCCGCAAGTCGAGCAAGGCTAGCTCTCTAGGGCACAGTATATCAGAGTCGTCGGGTTCGGCACATGGCCAAGAAAGTCCAGTCGCCGAGAGCCAAAAGCCGCGTCGGGTATTGACGAAGACGCGTCCTGTGGCCTCGTCGCCTTCCAAGGTTCATATTGTGGAGAGTCCAGTAATGGAAGGTGTTTCGTCGCAGGATGCTTTGCTCTTTGATTCCGATCCTTTCGCTAAAGTCGAAGGAGTTCAAGTAGTCAAGGCACCTCTCAGACAAGATCCACCTAGTAGAACTCCGTCAACGGAGAAAGCTGAGGAGATAGCTCTAGCTCGAGACGATTCTGGTAGCAATCATGATGGCCATGACATTAAGTCTGAAGATCATACCGTGTCTGAGGTCCCTGTTTTGCCCAAAACGCCCTTGACCCCCGTGTCTCCAGAGGACTACAAAACGGCGCGTGCACAGCGACGTGGGCTATGGTTAGAAAAGTCACTACCTCCCCTTGTTGCAGATGCTATCGCCAAGCAAGAACTTGATAAAGAGCAAGAGGTAGGACAGGAGGAAGAGGAAGAGAGGTCACCCTCCCCGCCGCCTTCTCCCCCTCCTCCTCCCCCTCCTCCGACGTATTTTCCCATTGTGATGTATCTCTCCGATGTAAATCTTTTTGCTCGTCTTTTAGAATTTCTTTCGTTCTCCGAATGGTCGTCCTTGTCGAGCGTTAACAAAGATATTAGAAATTTAGCTGAGGACAAAAGGCTCTTCAGGGAAGAGGTACTAGAGCGCTACTTGGGAACCATAGGCTACGTGCGCTGGACCCACGAGTTGGCTGAACCGCTTACGATATCGTTGAAGGTGCGCTTCTTTTTTTGATCCTCCAGAGTTCCGTCTTTGATCTCTTAATATAGGACCTTAATGACTACATGAGAGGCGTGTCCATGCCCACACATCAATACGCGCGTGCAGCGGAATCGTACCTACAGCCAGGAGTGGTCGAACAAGGAGAAGGAGCTAATATGCTCCCGTTCCCAGACATTGAAGTCCTCACTGCCTCAACTCGCGCTTACACTCGTATTGTTCTGAGAATTCGTGCACAGGCTGAAGCTGAAGCTAAATATTTGGCTCGTATGGCAGCTGCAGAGGCTAGTCCTAACCATAGGTCATCGCCACATGTTAAGAAGAACGGTCACTGGCAATCGCGTGCTTCCAGTCGCGCACCATCTCCGACGTCTTCAATGTCTCACTCTCACAACCACGCCCATGCTCATAGTCCAGCTCGTGGGTCTAGGTCTAGAGCCAATACTTCGTCATCAGCAGCGAAGGCTTTCCATTCGCCGTTGTACCAACTTCACCGTGCACCGCTGTTGCGGGTCTTTGTACCTTCTCCTGACGGGGATTGGCTCTCTGATACCAGTGTGATGGAGTGTGAGGCTGAGCTCAAACGTGCGGGTGTGTCAAAGTTACTACGAGTTGGTGACGTGGTATGGGATGTGGCAGCAGGGGACGAAGGGAATGTAGGGAGGATGGTCTGGGATGGACGTTATTTGATTGTAAGTTAATGATGTTGTTGGACGGTTGACGCAACATATCGTATACTAACTATCGTGGTATGCAGGACCTCGAATATAAGTACTCGAAGGCAGGAGACCTCCCCCGATACTTCCATAGTCTCGCGTTTTCTCCCTCCTACTTCCATCGTGTCATTCGGACAGGCCCCAGTGCGAGTAGTAGTGGTGGCAATCCTATTGTCTACATGGATGTGAGTCCGTGGGGTGATGAACTGGCTGCCAACTTGCAGCTATTGCAGGATAGGATGAGAACAGAGACGTAAGTCTTATATGCTACTGATAAATCGTCGTTGCGCATGGTGCTGATCTGTATCTGCAGTCCTCAAGGTGCTCTTCACAACGTTGTACGCTGGGTTCACCGAACGTCTTTTGAGCTTCGACGACCTGTGCGGCCTCATCATTCCGACACGCGCAGCAATCGCTCGAACAACTACCGTCTTCCTATTCCTAATGTTGAAGGTTTCTTCGTTGACCCTGGTTGGTATGGTACTATTGTTATCGAGGCTGAAGGCACGAACGAGGGCCTGGCGGACCTACAAGAACGATGTGGACCAGGTGTATTCCCTCCTCGACCGGAAACTGTTAGTGGGAAAAGCCGAGGCGCAAAGCAGGAAGATACTAAAAGAGTATTCAGGATTATGCGCGAGAAGAGGTACGTTGCTTGTTCAGCATCTTGTATATCATTGACTAACGCCTCTTCTGTTTACAGTCGTCCAGGAGAGATCTGGATTAGAACAGTGAGGGATAAGGAGAGGTTAATGTGATCAATTGTGGGAACAGGTATCCCTGCGCTTGCAGAGGCAAGCCTTTCATTCATTTCTTTGCTGGATGCTTTTTACTTTCTTTGCCTCCTGTTTGAGCGGACTGTTTCCTGGAATCCATTGTGTAGACTTATCATACTTATGTATTTTCCCTGCTTTCACGTATGTTTAGCTGCAGTAATAGAATCTTATAGACTTCTTTTCAACGAGTATAATGACAATAATAAAATAGTTATGTCCTAGTCAAGTCACGTGAGAACGTGTTCTCCAGCGAAAGCCTGCTCCCAAACTTGCATTTCCACCAACACTTCTATTCGTCACTCCATACCGGCCGTAGGAGAACGTGGTAAAAACTCTTTCAATACTAGTACCGGATATAATTGCAGGTCTGCGACCCGACTGAAGACACCGAATCTCAGGGACTGTATCTCAAGACCGTCGCTGGAAGGCATGTTGTTCAATATCACGCTCCTTATAGTGACCGCCAGCTTTGGACTTGTCTTTGCCTCTCTTTACCCGGTCGAACCAATTGGAAACACTGTTTTTCCTGCCGGAAAGCCAGTGTCGATCAGATGGGTTGACAACGGATCGAGCCCTCAAATCCAAACGTTGGGCCCTCTTGAAATTCAGTTATTCTGCAACGATGACGTGAGTTATACGTTGCGCGTTTTTCTCGTATGAGGCGCCATAAACGCCCGCTTGCTCTACGCCTGTGGATGTTAGAGGTGACATTGCTTTACACGCTAACCATTATGCCCCCGTTTGTGGTTTCTAGACATACATCGCAACACTAGCGACAAACGTCAATCCTATCGCGAAATCTCAAATGGTTACAATCCCCCCGCAACTAGTCTACAATGGATCCAACTTGTAAGTGCTTGACTTGTAGTGTGAAGTTCTTTTTATTAACATGCAGGTTTTATTAGCACTATACGCTTCGCCACCAATATCCCTTACGACCTTATAATATATACGGCCGACTTCACGATAACGAACGCTACTGGCCCTCAGCCACCTTCCAGTTCCTCTTTGACTATGCACAGTACCCTATCAGCTGGGAATGCTACCTTGATAGCCAAACCCACGACATTAACAAATATCACTTCATCAACCAAGCCGGCAACAACATCAACAATATCATACACTACTTCATCAGTCAAGTTTGTAACATCAAGTAGCAGAGCATCGCAGCCGACTGTAATTGCGCCTCCCCTTCGTCCTAGTAATGTCGGGTATCAGCCAGAAAACCAACGGAACGCAGCTCGTCGCGTCGACATCGAGAAGCTCAAGTTCAAGGTCACCTTTATTCTCTGGCCTGCGTTGATCGGTATTGCCATGGCCCTCTGAATTGCGACATCACGAACCAGCGATACCTTGCACGGAATACGAAACAAGATAGATAGTCTCAACATGTTTCCTACTATACAGTTGATCTCCTCGAGTCTATCGAGTGCCCCATGTCGGTTTCTGTAATCAAAAGTCTATGTAATCCCATTTGTTTTGTGTGATATTTCGTTGTCCAATGAGAGACTACTTTGTGATGGCGAGCCTATCGAGCCTGCATTCTCAGCGCCTTGCTCAGCAATCTCTCACTAACCAATTGTAAGTCAACAGCGGACGCCGGGCCATGACATGTATGAGTAAGTCACGACGTGATGTGACGTGACGCTGTCTGTCACCGACTCCGTCCGATATTTTTGTGGTTCAGCTCAAGAGCCGGTCTTTACTTCACACCTTCTTGTATCATCATAATGTTGCAGTTACAGCAAGTCTCACGAAGAGTATGTCTTCCTATATATTTCTGCGAAAAAAACAAAGTATTTAAGGCTTATTTGATTGTTCTCACTAGCACGTAGCCAAACGGTTGCGTCAGGCTAGTGTACAGGTTGGTGCTTGGAATTCACAAAGAGGACTTGCGACACCATCAGGTCCATATGATGCAGTTATCATCGGTGGAGGTTCGTATCATCATTCCAACTCTCAGTGTTTTGTTTGTTACTTAACATGTTTTCTTATCAGGTCCTGGTGGATACGTTGCAGCCATCAAGGCTGCTCAACTTGGTTTAAAGGTATTTAATTGTCACCTTACTCCTGTGTTCAAGGTTAATTGTGGTTTTCTTTCATTTTTCAGACCGCGTGTATTGAGAAGCGGGGTTCTCTTGGTGGTACTTGTCTCAATGTTGGATGTATCCCATCAAAAGCTATGCTCAACAACTCCCATATGTACCACCAAACGAAACATGATCTGGAAAGGCGTGGCATAGATGGTACGCCTCATTTGAATACATATTTGTGTTCTCGCTGAGTTTGTCGCAGTATCTGGTGTTTCTCTCAACCTAACCCAGATGCTCAAGGCTAAGGATCAATCTGTAACGGGCCTTACTAAAGGAATTGAGACTTTGTTCAAGCAAAACAAAGTAGATTACATCAAGGGTTCTGCTTCTTTCGTATCTCCTACGCGAATCTCTGTCAAGCTTAACGATGGTGGGGAAACCGAAGTTGAGGCCAAGAATGTCGTCATTGCTACGGGCTCCGAGGTTACACCATTCCCAGGCGGTGGCATTGAGATTGACGAGAAGCAAATTGTCAGCTCAACGGGAGCTCTGGATCTTCAAAATGTCCCTGAAAAGATGGTCGTTATTGGTGGTGGTATCATTGGGCTGGAGATGGGAAGTGTATGGAGCCGTCTAGGAGCTGAAGTCACAGTCGTAGAGTTCTTGGGTGGTATTGGCGGTGTCGGGATTGATGAGGAAGTCGCGTGAGTGTGTTTGCCTTTTAGTGATCCTATGACGATACCAACCTGCACTTTATAGAAAACAATTCCAGAAGATTTTATCGAAACAAGGGATCAAATTCAAACTGAACACCAAGGTGCTATCCGCTGAGAAGCAGGGTGACAAGGTCGTCATCAAGACCCAGTCTGCCAAGGGTGATAAAGAAGAAACCGTAAGTCATCCTTTCAATCACGACTCTATCATTTGTTCGAGCATTTTACCCTCATTAGTTGGATGCCAATGTTGTTTTGGTTTCTGTTGGTCGTCGCCCTTATACAGAGGGTCTTAACCTGGAAGCTATTGGTATCGAAAAGGACAACAAAGGTCGCATTGTTATTGACGACCAATTCAACACCTCGGTCAAGAACGTGAAATGTATCGGTGACGTGACATTCGGTCCTATGTTGGCACACAAAGCCGAGGAGGAGGGTTAGTCATCTGTCATATATCCATGGCATAGCTTATCATTGCTTCTCATTGTAGGTATTGCGGCTATTGAGCATATCAGCGCTGGACATGGGCATGTCAACTACAATGCTATTCCATCCGTTGTGTACACACATCCCGAGGTTTCCTGGGTTGGCAAGACCGAACAAGAGTTGAAGGCAGCTGGCGTGAAGTACAATATCGGAAAATTCCCCTTCGCCGCTAACTCGAGAGCGAAGACGAATCTTGATACCGAAGGCTTCGTGAAATTCCTCTCCGAGAAAGAAACAGACAAAATCCTTGGAGTCCACATCATCGGTATGCTTACCTTCCTTCTCCGTGACTGATCTGTTAAGTTAATAAAATACATTACTCGTAGGCCCCAATGCTGGTGAGATGATCTCGGAAGCCGTCTTGGCCATGGAGTATGGTGCCAGTTCAGAAGACATTGCCAGGACTACTCACGCTCACGTACGTATGGTTATCATCTAAAACAGAATACACGTTAATATTTTTATCTAGCCTACGCTCAGCGAGGCTTTCAAGGAAGCTGCTATGGCGGCATACCAAAAGCCCATCCACTTCTAGAGGCCAGGAGGACACTATGATTATCATCAATGCCGTAGACAGCTCTCCATACAACCTATTCATTATTCCATTATTTTGACAACTGCTATGCTTAATGAAATTCTGCAATTATAATCAGCCATCTAAGACCCGTGCATTGTAAATGCAAATTAGCGGTCTTATTTCAATATCTTCTGAGTTTGTAACTATTTGGCAACGCCATGAGAAAATAACAGCTGCCAATATCGGTATCGGTCCGCTCCACTCGGAGTCTCCATCTTCGTTCAAGTTCATTTCTTACTTCAGCTCGTTATCTTTTGGCTGTTAGGACACATTATCTTTCTTCGTTGTATAGAACTTAACCCCAAATTTGGCGTCGCTCCTTCAACTTTATCAAGAACCTAATGCATGTCTCTATCTTGGTTGAAACGCAAAGCTCGGCTGGGATCCCTCTTAAGCAGCTCTGGAGATGAAGACGAAGAAGGGCTCGCGTTGGACAGAATTCTACATGGACAAAGTGTTATTGGAAAGACATGTATGATACTTTTAGCACCTTCTTCCCCTTCGATCATGTTGATCCGCTTGGTGTCTAGCTAAGACTACTGAGATTGAATCTCTGCGTTTCACGAACAAGGATCTCGCCTTTCTGGGGACCTTGGAATTTGGTCAGTTTGGCGTGGTATGTATTTATTTTCTGCCATTCTTGCTGGTCATTAGACATTTTTCATATCAGATAGATGTTGTTACTTGTCGCCTCGATGGCCGCGTTTATGTTCGGAAATCTATAGAGAAACGATTCGCTCTAAAAACTCGTGATGTCTCCGGTTCTTATCTTTCCATCAAACGACTTTCCTGATTGGCTTTTGTTCAACTATAGCAATGCTCTCCGAAATTCGAGCGTGATATTCTTCTAGAAGCAACGAAAAGTGATTCAGACTGGGCGCCTCATCTACTCTGCGCCTTTCAAACGTCCACACATCTTAATTTGGTCATGAATTATGCTGAAGGTGGCACTTTGTGGGACGTTCTTGAATCAAGCCCCCATGATGGTCGGGTCACTGAGGCTGATATGAAATGGTGGACCCCTCAGGCGGTATCTGCTATTCATTGGTGCCATTCTAAAGGTTTTGTGCATCGGTGCGTAATTCTCGTCTTGGTATTGTTGGCCTGAAAACAAATGCAAATGCGGACGTTCGCTGCAGCGACATAAAGCCACACAACTTTGTGCTCACTCCCACAGGGCATCTTCTCTTAATAGACTTTGGGTCTGCTGCTCCTTTGCTACCACCAAAAGCCGATGGGCGCCAACTTGTACCCAAACGATATTGCCTCGTCCCATGCGGTACTTGCGATTATATATCACCTGAGATTTTGCAAGCACATGAAGAAGCTTTAGTCGCGCTCGAAATGACGGATGGAAATGGTGAGCCCCTTACTCAAAGGGGCGACGAGACGGAGGGATATGGGGTCGAGACCGATTGGTGGAGTTTAGGCGCCATGCTTTATGAAATGGCCTATGGCGTAGCACCCTTCTTTGCAAAAGACATTCGAACCACATATCTCAGGATCATAGATCATAAGGTTGGTATACACTTGCATTACTATCTGCTGCGTATATCTGAATTGGATGAACCCAGACCAGCTTACGTTTTAATCAAGCAATTCCGCTATCTGCACAATATCAAGCATTTTTAAGAGGGTTTGTGGATGTCTCTTCCCCTTTAACTATATTTGACATACGCAAAATAGTCTTCTAACCAGTCAAGAACGTCGTCTTGGCAGGCACAATGTCATGGAAATAACTGAACACCCATTCTTCGAGGAGACAAACTGGTCTTACCTTGAGAAACGTACGTAGTTAAAGATAACGCCTGATAATCAGCTCATGGGTAGCATGCGGATCGGGTTTATAGAGGTTGCGCCATCCGATCTCCACCTACCACATTTCGAATATTCGACGCCAGTTCTACAGAATCCTCACCTAGCATCTCCTAATGCCGAGACTACAGGCGATGGTTACTCTCAAGGGTTTGCCTTTTCGGCGTTGTTCCAATCATCTGTAGATTCTTCCTCTCCCTTATCTCTCTTGCATTCAGTATCTCAGAAATCTTCGCATTCGTCTTTATCTTCAGAAACGGTATCAGCCTTTCTTGGTTTTTCATGGGGTCCGTCAGAGAACGCATTTACAAATATCAGCACAGAATCGAAAGGGGAAAGTCCAGCATTTGCTGCAACACCTCATCAGCTTCGTGTACCTTCCCTGCAATCTACGCCTTACCCTTTGCTACGCCCACCTTCGGCAACACCTGCCCGACCTTACGCTTTTGCTACTCCTATACGACCCCATAATCTTTCCCCGTACCAAACCCTTCCACGGATGAGTACCATTCGCCGTACAGCCGAGCGCCGAGCAGTATCCGACCGAGAGGCCATGAAACAGCTCGTAGATTGCATCGGTATGAGTGCACGCAAAAAAGTTTTGGAGAGTGGACGGAAACCGCGTATTCTGAGCTCGTATAGCCGGAATCGGTCTGTTACGTTTAGAAAGGAGTTGCAGTTTATTGTGACGGACAAAACCTATGATTCTGATATCACTCCTGCCATGGAGGCAACCGCGTCCGAGAGATCCGAGGATACAGAATCGGAAGGACCACCGAGCCCAAGCCCAAGCCCTCGTCCTGGGTCTGCCATGTCCATGATAAGCAGAAGGAGTGCCACACCAACTGTGTCCGCATCGTACTCGGGTCGTTTCTTAGGCCCTCCTTCGGCTACGTACAGTCATGATAGCAGACGGCATTACGACCATAGCTCACCTCGGGAACGTTCTTTTCAAGAAGTACCTCCTAGTGGAAACGATGACCTTTTGGAAAGACTCGAGAAGAGACGTATTTCGATTCTTTTGGATCTGGATGATATCGGAAAGCGTCTCGAGCTTTTGCGTGTGCAGATCAAAGGTGGAGAGGGTTAGATTCTGATGTGTCCAATTTTCCTTCTACTATTTCATTCCCATTGCTGTCTGCCTTGCAGGACTCGCAGATGTATAGACATACTACTTGATCATGAATTAACAGGTCGATCGGAATTATGTGCACATCAGGGGCTTTTGTGTTGTTTTCCTTTGTGTTGGTACTGCGGTGTTGTGATAGCCGTTTTCTTGTTGGCGTGTCCTTTACCCCTTGGCCCAATGATACGTCCATAAGCTTTGCTTTTCTGCCTTTACCGCAGGCTTTGTGTCAGACTTTGAGGAACAAAGGACACAATTTCCTGCTTATGTAAGGTGCCGTGCCTCAACAGCGCCTGAAAGCATTTCAGACAGAAAACATGTCCTCAGCAGATGAAGCCTCACTAGAGCCATCTCAGGTCGAGATATCCGAATTCGAGACCCAATTCATACCTCAATCCGACGATGACGAGCAGCTATGGGAAGTGGTTGCGATTGCAGCTGAGAAAGGAAAGAGATATAAAGTCAAGTGGGCTGGGAACGATCCAAAGACAGGCAAACCATGGGCGCAGAGTTGGGTGGATAAACATGATTGCACCGACGACCTCGTTTCAGAATGGAAATTAAAGCAGAAGAAGAAGAAGGAAGAGGCTTCAAAAAAGCAACGTACGTTCATTTGTGTATTCCGCTGTCGTAGCATTAACACTGGGTGTCGTTTGCCACAGCCAAAGGAGCGCGTACGACTACTAAGGCAAACTCATCTCGCCTTTCTAAAGTATCGTCAAAGTCTACCTCACGCAGGACACGCTCCTCGACTGCAACTGGGTCGGTAGAGGTTATACAGATATCAGGTTCTGATTCCGAACCTCCCCGTCCTGGTCCTTCAAAGCTCACCAAAGAAGTGCCTCGCACTCGCACTTCTAAGCGCCAACGCGTCTCATCTTCCCCATCGATCGAATTCATCAAAGAGGATGATTCAAATTCAACTTTTAGAGAGCGACCTCAGAAAAAACAGAAAGTGAACGTGGAAGTAGTTGTCCTTCCCTGGACGAACCAAAACGAAACTAATCTAGAAAAAAATCCAACGAATTCGGGAAACAAGGCGCTTATAGAGCAAGCAGATTCCCGTGACGGTGCTGGTAACATACGTGAACACGGAGATATTGATGCTATCAGCTCGAAAGTAGACAAGATTGGGCCTCCTCGTGGCGTCAAACGGGCTTCGAAGTCGAGGCGCGACCCAGGAACAACATTGATTAGCACAGCAGCTTCTTCTTCACGAGGATCGTCCAGGCCATCATCTCGTGTCAAGGCATTCAAGTCGGCGTTAACTTCTTTTTCAAGTAAAACAAAAGGCAAGGGGCGTGTCAAGTTAAACTCAGATCTGGTTATGAGTGGCTCCAGCGATTTATCCTCCAACGACGGTTCTGATTCTCATCAAAAGGGCAAGGTGAATTATGAAAGTCATCTACCAGATCTATCAGAGAACATCCCATCTCCCCAAATGCATGTCTCTGACCATGCAGTACAGGAGTATCCAGATGACCCAGACCCTCATTCTACCACCTCTCCTTTCCGCCCTCGAACTCCTGTACTGTCTCCCAGGGCTTTAGCGCGGCTTGAACTTTTCGACCGCATGGTCCTTAACTCTGATCATAATGAGAGTATTGTAGAGCCAATCAGACAACTTGATTTTGTGTATAACAATGAAGTTAACGCACCCGAACCACCTGTTCCTCAACCTCCAGAAG